AGATGAGGGAGTGGAGTATTCTGAAGTCGTGTGTTGTAAATATTTACCTCAACATTTGAATATCCTCCCAAAGCTTTAATTTGATTCAAACCCTGCTTAATTTCTGAATTGCCCCAATAGGATAAGCGAGGAATGGAGTTGGAAGTAGCCACCAACTCCCTTTTGCGAGCAAATTGTTCCAAGTAAAATAACTACATGGGAAACAAAAAATAAAAAAAAAGAAGTCATTTTAATGTGTGTTAGACAATATACAATAAAAAATAATAGATGAAATAATTACACATCAAGGGGAAGTACCATTAGAAGAAGCAAACAGCCGCACATAGCAGACCGCTCTTTGACCTTGGCAATAGCAATGCGGTCGACAAGAAAATCAAGGGTGTGCTTTGCCCAATTGAATTGACTGATGGACTCAACATTTTAAACCATTTTAATGAATGATTGGTGTACGCCTGCCTTTGTGGTGGGGCACAAGAGGGCTCCAATGATGTATAAGACAAATTTCCTTTTAAATTCAGTTCCAGCATCTTTTGTTTCAAGCAGATAAGATTTCAAAGATGTGAACGGAACAAATTTATTCTTCATCGCAAGTTGATCACATAGGTTTGTAATATCATCTACGGACTCTGTTAACTTCACAGGTAGACCATTGGAAGGTAATCCCATCAACTCATGAACATCTTCTACGGTGAGAAGCATTCGAAGACCGTGGACATTCAATGAATGAGTTGAAGGATCAAAGTTCTGAACTAACCAATGACACAAGTCATGATCTATGTGCGTGCACTTAAGGCTTAGGATGCCATGAAACCCCATATCACTCATTGCTTGTTGTTGTGCTTTGTCCAACCTTCTAATAATCTTACAAATTGATGTAAGCTCAATCCAGGTTTGAATTTTTACTTTTGAAGGCTTTTGTTGGACCACAGTTTTTAATTGGGCATATTGTTCAGATTGCAGCTTTCCCATTTGAATATACTTATTTTTTTCTTCTTCAGGAAGTTGATTCCATTTGTCCCCAATATCCTACATTACATGCATAAATTCATATGAACAATTACATACAAGCTTACAAGTACAAAAGGAATACTACAAACAACAAGAATACGTTGCACTTACCTTCACGTCTACTTTCATTTGGGTTTTTTTTAACTCCATTGATTGTTCTTGGCTATAAACATATGAAAATGAATATAAGAATTCGTATAATGGAAAATATATAACTACATACAAATAGATATTAACGAAATACCAAAAGAAAATGAATGGAGTGATCGGGCGCTTTGGAGGATCAGTCGGCTTATCCATTAGGCTTCAATCAGAATTCCTTGTAAAGAAAGACAAGAAAAATAAACTCATAATATCTTTGATTAGGAAAAAAAACAAACAAACAAAAATCTTAAAGGTTATAGTACATTCATCAAATGCACGACATGCACACATGAATGGATTTGTTTTATAATAATGTAGTTAACAAAGACTATGTTTCCAATGTAAAAAGGAAAGACACTAAAAAAAATTCTAATCATAAACAAAAAATGATACCCCAGTAGCTTAGGTCACATTACCATAAAAAATAGATTAAAGAAGTTAATTTTTTTGGACAAAATTTGTAATTTGGTAAGGAAATTTTTTTGTCGCAAAAAGGAGCCAAATATTTTGGTACCATACGAATTGATAATAAAAACGACATTGTTTTTTATTTTATTTTTGGGACTATTGTAGAAAAAAATAAAAAACGATGTCATAGTTATGTAGAGCTCCTTTGCTCCTTCAAGTCTCACTTTAGGTGTACAGTCAGAAGGTTGAATATCTTTATTAACTGGTTTTACTTGCTTTGGTTTTAGCTATGTTGTGGTTCACTTTCCCATATTTTATCTTGCTAATTTTTTTTTATTCTCTGCATGGGTTTGGGGATGGCTTGAACCACATAAAGCACTTGAAAATTATAAATGTTTAGGAAAGCAATTTGTTTTTTAGAATACAAAATACAAGAAATTAGAAAATGGGAGAATGATTTGATATAGTTGTATTCAGTAATATACATACACTAACTAAAGATTTGATGCACTAAGGACCCTTGCATACTGCTATACCCACTGCCACTCACAATTGAATCTTGGGTTGTGAATAGAGCTTCTCTTGTATTAATGCTATGCTTATTATTTGATTTTATTATTTATATTTATTCTGTCATTGATACATTAGATTCATAATAAATAATACTAATATATGAGCACTACTACAAAATTGGTTAAAGGTCACAATTTTTAACTTTGACCTTATACTTTTAGTCTTAGTTTTTTTTTAATACAAAAACTATGATGAATGAGGGTGTGACTGTACAAGTTATATCATAAATATTTTGCTTTTTAATTTGGCCATCACGCATACCATATAATTTAAATATATTGAAGCATAGAGGACCTTGTAGGAAAAAATATGTACCTGTCAAAGAAGTATTTCAGCAACAACACAACCAGCAAACCAGAAGTCAATAGCTGTGTACTCCGTTAATCAAAATATAAGCACAGATGTAAGAGGTATTGGCCTCTCCTTTTACCTGCCAAAAATACGGAATGAAGCATTTCAACCAAAACACAAAACTAAGGGAGAGGGGAAAAAATTAAAAGACATAAACCAACATGTCAAAACTTTAAAAATTCCAAAATGAAGTTGTTATTTGTAAAAGAGTTAATGAGGTGGTGGGAAAATAGCATATATGAAAGGGCATCATTAGTGATGAAAAAATGTAAAATAATTACAATTACATATGAGGGTTTATAGAACTCTAATAAGTATATAGCATATTAATTAGGATACATGTTAGAGTGTAAATCCTTTGGAAATTAGGCCAAATGTTATAATTTGCATATGGTACACATCTCAAAAGGAGTGTAGTAGCATGACCATACATACCACACATAAACCCATATAAACTCTAGTTTGGAATGAATCAATAAATCAAAGACCCCAAAAACAGAAGAACAATAATTTTTTAAAGGCATTTTTCTGTTTCATGTATCTTCATGCTCTTGTAGAAAAAGCAATAAACAACAAAGAAGGTGGGGGGGAAGAAAAGAAAAAGAAAAATAAGAAGTAAACTAATAATTTAGTGTCTTTGAAGTTTGAGGGTTTTGAATGAAAATAGGTTTTTCTCGAATCAAGTAATTTTGATATTTTTTTTAATTATTTAATGGAAAATCAAGATGTGTGTATTTGCTAGTTCGATATGCGGTCAGATGTGTTATTTGACATGAATGTTGGAGGTAATCCTATCATCACTCTATTTCAATCCAGATGATTTTTTATTTTTTTATATTTTCTTTATTAATTTGCTTGTGTTTATCATTATTACTTACCTTCTATTGAAGCAAAAAAAAAAAAAAAAAGAAAAAAAAAGAAAGAAAGAAAGAAAAAGAAAAAGAAGCCAAGGATGGTTGCTAATCCTGCTAGGAAGAGTGGGAGTAACTAAGTTGGAAGTGGGAGGGGTTTATCGAAGGTCATTATCTTTTGTTGTGCTTTTTGTTGCTCTTTCGTTCCTTATAGTCACCTTGGAGGATTAAGCTATCTCTCTCTCTCTCTCTCTCTCTCTCTACTTGGGTGATAAAAAAAATAAATTAGACCATGTAATGCCAAAGGGATGGCAATGAGGGGAAGTAATGAAGGCGGCGGTGGTGGAGGTGGCAATGACGGGTTGACTAGGGATTTCTTACGTCTTAGAACAATCTCTCATAGGGGGTTTCCAAACATGGCTGGGCTTGATCATATGATAGTAGTTATGACTAATATGGTATTGGTTATGATATAAAATCATATAAGTTCATAACTAAATGTATGGTACATCTAAATGTACCATAGCATCACCCGTGATGTGATGAGAAACCTCCATTTAATGATTGTTATCAATAAAAAATTGCAACGTCTAGTGAAATTGAAAGTTTAACCCCTGAAAAAACAGTAATCACTATCATCCACCTGATATTCATTAATTGCAGAGTCTAGAAAGAGGAGCGCATAAACCGATAATATTCTCTGTGCTGCAAATTCTCTTTCTCGCATTGCAGCAGCTTTTTTTTGGGTTTCACTTTTTGGTGCCTCTGTTTTTTTACTGGGTTTGGAGCCAATTCTTGTCGGTTGGCTCTTCTCTTCTCTTTTGGTTAATAAAAAGAATAAAACCAAACCAAACACACCACACAATTCATATATATATATATATACTGACACTAGTGTATCAATTCAATTCAAGCCCACTTCTTATTTCTGTAGAAGACTATTGTTTTATCAATACTGGGTTTGGGTTTTCAAAGCTTGTTTATATCGAAATACTCATCTGGGTTTTATTCTCTATCAATAAAACAATTTATTCTCTATCAAATTTCCCAATATATTCCTTGTAATTTAATTAAATTAATTATTATTATTATTTTATTTTTTTTGTGGGTTTCTCTGTTATTTACATATAATTCTTAGAATTTCAATGGTATGGTATGTTTAACAGAGGTGCATAATGGCCAATGGGAGATTGGGACAATGGTTGCAAATGCTAGTTTGTGTACTGATATTGCTCAAAACAGAAGGCTTCTATGTTGGCATAACTTATGTTCAGAATGCTGTTGCAAAAGGAGCAGGTTAAAATCTTCTTCATAATAAGCCAATTTAAATTTTTTTTACAATCTTGACTATAATGTGTTTGGGATTCTGATATTGTGCAGTTTGTTTGGATGGGTCTCCCCCGGCTTACCATCTTGATAAGGGGTTTGGAGCAGGAATTAACAATTGGTTGGTTCATTTTGAGGTTGGTCCTTCATTTACCATTTTGTTTTACAATACAAAAATGATTTGTTTGTTGTTAAGAAGATGATTGAAAAGAAAAATAAGAATTGTGAAATCATATAAGATACCCAATTTTCTGCAGTTTTATTGGAAATTGAATTGAGAACTGATTTTGATTTTTTTGAAATGCCAATTTTCTAGTGTATTTAGGACATGAAAATGTAGTCTGATAAGAGGAGGGGAAAATGTAATATCTATTACACCCCTTGTTACTTGTCACTAAGTAGATTGATGGTGGAAGGAAATGAAGTTTGTACAAAGTGCTTACAATCCCTCCAGATATAAATGTAGAATATACATCTTTTATCTATCTATTTGGGATGATAAAGTAGGAGCTTGAAATGTAGATTTAATGAATTTGGATCCATACCTGTTATATTAGCAACCTATATATATGTTTGCATATAAAATTTACTAAAATTAAAAACCGAAGAAAAAAATAGGAGCCAAATAGGGGTAGTTAATATCAATATGCTTCAAGAATTATATAGAAGCTTAGCTTCAAGGATTATATACTGTCTTATACCAGTATAGAGAACTAATTATAGAAGTATAGTAGTCTGTTGAAGGCAAAAGCTGAGAGAGGAAAAAAAAATTCAAGAAGTTAATAATACTTTTCCATATTTCTATAGATTGGTTATGCAGAAGTTAAAAAATTCAAGAAGAAGTTTAGCTTATTTTATGTTTGAATTCAAGTAAAAGAAAAGAAAAGAAAAGAAATTCTGCTGGAAAGAAATAATATTGAGATACATTTTTGCAGCCTGTTAATATTCTAGATTTGAAATCTGTTAATATCAATAATGAAGGCTGCAAAAGAAATTCAAGTTAACACCATAAGAAATCTGCTGGAAATCTGCTAAAGTCTTGATAATGAAAACAGATATTAAAAATCTAATGCATTTCATACTTTACATTCCTTCTATTTAATAGATTTGTACACCATACTTTTGCTAGAAAGGAGTTTATTGTGGTAGCAAAATTTTAAGGTCTTAATCCAGACCTTGAACTGCAAACTACATTCTATTCAATTGGAAATTTACTCACAGAACCAGCAGTATAGAAGACAATTTTCTTACCAATCAACAAAAGAACATAAAAAAGCTCATCAAGATAGCAAACATTGAAAGTATTTAAATAACAACACATGTAAAGTACCACCTGGCCCCCTGGCCCAAGAATGCAAGGAGTTTTGGGCACAACTGGCGCTGCCAGGTGATTTTTGTAAAGTTTCCTATCAATGGTCATCCGTATAGGCAATTTTCAGACCATAAGTGTTTTGATTAATTTTTAATTTGATTCATTAAACCCAGAATTTCATCATAATGAAGTACTTAAAATTTAATCCTTTTTTTTTTTTTTTGCAGTTGAAGTGACATACTGCTCACAAAACAACATAAGGAAGTTAGGAAGAATTAGGATTCCGTAATGTTGCTTCTAGTCCAAAAGCTATAGGAGAGGAAAGGAAAGGAAGAAATAAGCTATAAGTGGTTATCAGTTCAAGTATGAAACACATTAGCTGAGTGAACAAACTGCTAAAGGAGTTCATCACAGCCAAACCGTATAGCTCAATAAAATCTGCAAAAATCTGCAAACCGTATAACTCAATAAGCATTCAAGATCCAATAAAATCTGCACACACCATAATAACTCAAATCTGCACACACCATAATAACTCAAAAATAAAATCTGCACACAATAAAATCTGCACACACCATAATAAAATCTGCACACAATAAAATCTG